ACGCACAAGAAGGCCAAACCATCACAAAGGAATACTACCAGGAGGTCCTTCATCGCCTTCGTGACGCTGTGCGGCGCAAATGACCGGATCTGTGGGCAGCGAAAACTTGGCAGCTCCATCACGATAACGCACCCGCCCATTCTGTGCATCTAATTCAGACTTTTGTCGCCAAACACAACATCCCTGTGGTTCATTAGGCTTCCTACTCCCCTGACATGGCCCCGTATTACTTTTGGCTATTTCCCAAGCTGAAAATGCCGCTGAAAGGAACCCGATTGGAGTCGAGAGAAGACATCATGCGGAATGCGATGGCCCGGCTGATCACCATTCCAAAAGACGCGTTCCAGAAGTGTTTCCAACAATGGTGGAAGCGCTGGGAGAAGTGTGTGCATTACCAAGGAGACTACTTTGAAGAGGATTAGGGTTCTGTACCTCCACATCAATAAATGTATTTCTGCCGACCAAAGGTTCGATACTTTTTGAACACACCACGTAGACCCGTTGCTAAGCAGTGACCATGTAGACAGCATATGTTTGTGGCAGTGGCTCAGTTAACGCATCCCCGTTGCTAGGCAGGAGATTCTTAATGATGCAGCAGTTGGACTACAACAATGGAAATGGCATTTCTGCATGGTACGTGCCAAGATGTTATGAGCAAGGGACAAAGTGAGGATAGTTGCGTTCTGCATAGGAGGCTGTGAAGAGAGGACCAGAATGAGTGAAAGTAAAGAATCTCCACTGTTAGAAGCCATTGGCAGGGAATTGTTGGTGTAAGATAAGGCAGGCTGGAAAGCCTTAGCGGGCGCTGTGGTGATTTGTGAATTGTGGAGATTAGCAGTGTGCCTGTAATTGATTGTAGTTCTGAGTCATGTGTGTATAAGTGGTCAATAAATCCAGTCACTGATCCAAACCCCATCTATAGTCATACATACTACATGACAGTATGAATTAATAAATGAATGAATGTATAAGGGGTGGGCCTTCTTGGCCCTTGCACCAGGACCTACAGTGATCTTTTGTGCTTCACATGACAGTATGCTCTTTTCAGTATATATTATGAGACAAGCATATGGTTTTGTTATATATGTAAGTTGTGTCGCAGATCTCTGTAACAAGATTCTGTTTTACTGTAGGTGCGCTGTGGGTGTTTCTATGCGGCAAGCTCAACAAAGCCAACACGTCGACGTTCCCGCAACAACAATTACCTCTGGGTTTGTACAACAGATGGTGCTAGTAGTCACATAGCAATTTTAGCGCAGCAGCAGCAGCAGGCAGGAACGCTGAAGGACGTTGGGGCATTTGACTTGGTTGAGACCAAGGTCACTGCTATGGAATTTGTTCGGGGCATTTCAGGATCAGCGAGTCTCTGTGGTGATACTGTATGGATGGGAACTGACAGGAGACGGTAAGAAATGTTCAGTGATCAATTTCTTCAGCAGTATGATCATGAAATGGTAATATGGTGATGGAACTGCTGCAGACTTGTGTATATGTGTTCTTGACATATTAGGCTCGTTGAAGGTAGATTAGGAGGTGAAGTGAAGTGAGGTAGGATTTGAGGTTGTTGCTGCAGTGACTTTGAAGAATGCTGCTGTCTTTGCAGATGCAACATCTTGTAACCACATGGACGTTCACTGACATTCCAGAGGAATTAACTGCATCCATCTTCAGAGTACCATGAAGAGTTTCAGGCTAGGGCCATGCCATAGCTCAAGCAGTTAGTCGCTGGCTTCCCATCGTGGCGGCCCAGGTTCGATCCCAGGGTCTGGTCAAGTGGGATTTGTGGTGGACAAAGTGGCACTGGGGCAGGTTTTCTCCGAGTACTTCGGTTTCCCCTGGCAATCTTCATTCCACCAATTGCTCCACAATCACCCTCACCTGTCATCTGGGGCTGGTACAATAGGCCAGAATTGCTCACAGTACAAGGGACTTAGTCCCACCCCACTAGCAATAAAAAAAAAGAGTTTTGGGCTATGTTATGTTAGGTTATGTTACATGCTTTCTATATGGCTTTGACACTACTTTATTTTAGATTAGTTGCTTGTACATTGTTTGATTTGGATAGAAAACTTGGTATAAAGCGATAAAGCATCTCCTTGTCTTAGACCATTCTGGATAGGAAATTTATCAGACAGATGTTTACCTATATGGACTTTACTGTAAGTTTCGTTTAAACGCATTTTAATCAGCTTAACTAGTTTCATAGGTATCCCTAACTTTATCAGAATATTATTCAGGAGAATATTTAGACAGGAATTGGGATGATGTGGAAAATTATATAATGAAGAACTCTGTAGTTTACTAAATATTACAATTGTCAAATCTATGAAACTTAACAGAAGCAGGATGTGAGAGTGTGTACTGACTCATCTGCCTCAGGATATGGTCAAGTTGCAGGTTCTTATGAACATGTAAACAGCTGTTTGAATTCTATAAAAAGCTGGAAATTTCTTGACCATATAAGCAGCTTAATGTGAGAGGAACTCACCACATTCCTCACTGTTGCGTAACTTGGCAACCGACCATTTATCAAGGGTCAGTCTTCGTGGTAACTTGTTCCACCTCTCATTGCCCAGCAACGGTTAGACATGTCACAATATGTTAAAAGAAAACAGTTTTATGGCCCTAAAACACACAGTGCCAATGAGGAATGCTTGTACTTTTTCCTCCTGCTTTTTCTTCTTCTACTTCTTCTAATATTGTTTCTGTTGTCTACTGGTTTATGGACAAAATGGCTCTAAATCTTATTTTCCATTTGATTTCTTGTGAGCATTTTTCTCTGTTCTTGTCGTCATCCAGTGCCTGGCTGAATCACCTTGTGGGTTCTCTCATAAACATCTTCCCTTTACACTTTAATTCTCTAATGTCCTTTGTATCCTTGTTTTGTCCATTTTTTTTTGTGAACCAGATCATTAATTGTTTCTGTTTTAACTGTTAGCAGGTTTTGAATTAAACTTTTTCTCTAAAAATATAATTTCTAATTCTATCCCATCTTGTTTTTGTCTCAGAAATGTTGTATTCTTTGATGGGATATTGCATTTGTTTCCCTTTGTTAAGTGTCCATTTCTTGGCATTATATGTTAAGTGTTGGTTTGAAATATGCTTTGTAGACTCTTGTTTTGGGATGTCCAAGTTTTGTAATGTGCTCTTTCTATTCCGATAAAATTTTGGACACTTGCATTTTGTGTTCCTCTCCCCATAGTATGACCCCAGTGTCAGTGCTGTGACAAGAGTAATGTCAAACAAGGGACACTGTGCTGTGATGCACAATATTGCCATGTTAGCTGAGAAGATCCAACACTGAAAGTGATGAGTAACTGTGCTCCAGTGAAGCTGTGACAGGCCCAGCAAGCAGACAGTGGATTTAGGAACACTTTCAAAATGAAGAAAAGTTTCTCCATGCTTATTTTACTCAATCCATTGAAGGCAGAGTTTGTATATGTAATATTAAAAAATTAATTTCATACCTGCAGGAAATACACAACGTCTCCATTACAAAAACAATTGGTTAATGCTGTTTAAGGAAATTGTAACTGTTCATTCCGAGAATTGAAATATGCAGATTCATTCTGTGGACAAAATGTAAAGTTTTAATGTAAGAGTAAGTGTTACATACAGTAATCACTGTTCTTTCAAAGTTTGAACAATCACTTGCCACTAACTGCTGATGATTCATATCACCTTAATTTTTAAGACTGCTGCATACTGTGCATTGGATGTTATGGCCTGAAGTTCCCATAAGAAGTATACTGACCCAGTAGTCACTTTATTGTCTGGTCCATCACAACCCACGATGGCAATGAAGTGTTTACATTATGCCTACCACATCCTATAATTTGTTGCAGATTACTTCTTTATGCTGCTAGTGAGCCAGAGAAAGAGGAGGAAGTTGGTAGCTGCTCAGTGCCAGCCGTGATCATTCAGATTCGATGTCATTGCGACTGTGTATTTGTCGCTTTAGCAGATGGAAACCTGTTGCAGTATACACGTAATCCGCAGGATGGTTCCTGGGCACTCAAAGATCCGCAGACTCTCTCTCTGGGCACGGAGCCTGTCTCATGCCTTCTCCCTATTAACATGTGTCTCTATGCTGCCTGCGGCAAGAAGGTGTGGGTGCTCAGTGCTTTGACAGGCGAGATACAGGTATGGAACTCCATTGCAAACTGCCGTTAATTAATTAAACGTTAATGTTAATAGTTCTGGAGTTGGACATTACCACCTTGTTTATACCCTCCACAGCATACATCTGCTTCTCCAAATTTATGTTCTTATACTAAAATTATTATTTCTGCAGTGATACACTGATTCACAGTTCCCACATTTAGTGAAATTTATGTTCACTAAGTGTGGGTAAAATACTAAAAGAACTAGAATTACTAATTTTGAGGAAATATTATTTATTTGCTGGGACTATTTCTGGGATGAAAGAAGAAAAAAAGAAGATGCTTTCCAAAAGTAGTTTTGACAGGAGCGGCGTACTCGTAACAACATCTTATTAATATCATCGGCACATGGTTTCACAGAAATCCACCTTTGATATGAGATGTTGTCAGTTATTACCGTATTTACGCATGTATAGGCCTTTACTGTTTTGCCAAAAATTCAAGAGGAAAACTGGGGTGCGGCTTATATTCGAAATATTCGAAATTACACTTCATTTAAAAAGATTATGTTCATAATTAGTAATACAGGGTGTAATACTCCTGAAATAATATTCCAAGAAAATTATTTTTTCTATAATTTCTGTCTGAAAATTGTGCTGCGGCCTATACATGCGTAAATACGGTATATAGCTGCCCTGGCAAGAGATAAATTGAGTACTGTAAATTCTCGTCATAATGGACACAATTTGGCTGTGTATGATATTGAATTTTTAGAAATGTTTAGGCACTAAGGACGTTTGGTAATTAGAAAACTGTGTAAAATGAAAAAAGGACACATAAAAATCATCATGTAATTGCAGTATCCTGTGGTGTACTTCCATTAATACCCCTTAGCTCAGTTAGAGCAGACATCAGTGATAATTGTCACCCTGTCCTCCCTATTAGCATGTTGTAACGAGGGGTTAACTACTGTACTGTGTTGTTTTTGCTATATTAGGTGGGGAAGAGTCCTTTTAATTGTACCACATTATGTGGAGCACAGGTTTAAATGAATGGGGTGTCTTTTTCAATCGAGGAACTTACTTGTATGCAGTTGTAGTAATTTACCATTCTTCCGTTTCGTCCTTTCAGAAAAGCTTCAGTGTTCAGCATGAACATGTTGGTAATGTGAATCTGATGGCTCATTCTGGCATTGGATTGTGGGTGTCTCTTAAGAATTCAAGTACCATCTGCCTGTACCACACGGAAACATTCAAACACCTGCAGGACATCAATATAGCTTCCAATGTACTCCGTGTCACGTCTCCATCAGCAGGTTCCAATGACTGCAGTGACCGAGATTGCATCAACAGTAAGGGATCATCTGTAACGGTTACTGCGCTAATGGCTTGTAAAGGCTTGCTGTGGGTTGGAACCAATGTTGGAATAAGTCTGACAATTCCTTTGCCACGACTGGAAGGTGTTCCAATTATCAGTGGGAGAGTGAACATTTCCTACCATGCACACTTTGGTCCAATCTCGTTCCTATTAGCCTTACAGCCAAGGAGTACAGGGGTCAACTTCCATTCACCAAAGCCACAGGAGGAAGAAGAAGAAGTGATAGAAGGTAGAGGGAAGGAAGGAAATGAATTAGGAAACCAAGAGGAACTAGTAGATAATGCAGCATCAAAAAAGAGGCTGGAGAAACAGATCTCTGATACTTCGGTATCAAGCAGCGTTGCAGCCAAATTGAAACATCAGCTGACTAGCAGCCCTGTAGTGTTAAGGCGTCGTAAACACAAGGAATTAGACTCAATAACACGGCGTACCTCAAAGACATTACCTCGCGGCTTAGGATGTGGGGGTGGTTTCCTCTCAACGTCAACAACATCTTCGCAAGGCTCTGGCGACACGTGTGATGTTTATGGTCTGTATGGGGAACTGATGTATGTAAAGGACTATGAAGGTGAGGATGGTGCTTTGAATGGTGGAACTGATCCAATCTATGAGTCCCTCCGACGTAGTGACCCGGAGTTGGCAGCAATTCCCGGTAAAGTTAGCACGTTGGATCGTCGATTAAGGCTCAAAGCGAGTCGTCCGCGTTCGTTAGATCTGTCGAACTGGTCTGTTGACTCTCGCTCCTCATCTGTGTATACATCCTCTGGGTCTGAAGAGACACTGGCTTTTAGAAATGGGGGTGGGAGCAGGAATGTTTCCAGACATGGGAGCAACGTCAGTTCATCTGCTCAAGCCACAAATGGCTCTGCTGATATTACCACAAATGTTCCCATAGAATCTCCTGTGGATCTTCCTAGTTCTGTGGTTGAAACAAGTTCAAAACCTACACATAAAGGCGCTCCAACACCTGCAGACACTTCTCGTAGGACTGTGATTACTCTCATGGGTGGCCGAGGGTATGTAAACTGGAGACAGGCATGCTGTTATGCAGCTGATGGTAAGAACAAACACTTCTCTACGTCCTATCCTGAACCAAACAGTAATGATGCACATATTGTGATATGGGAGATGAAGTTGTGATATCAGATTGATGTGTCGCGGACATTGAATGTCACCAAATTAGTCCCCAGTTCTTCTGTATTGCACTTCCAGTTTATTGTTACATCATGTATTGTATTTCCTGTCTTTTGCAACACACTCGGATGAGGAATGGAATCAAACGTGGCAAATATTTTGTTATGGGTATGTACAAATACAGGTAGTTTGATCCTTCTGACAGATAACTAAATTTCTGGGATATTGTGCCATCACATGTATGGAAGTATGATGGAACACACTGCATAATATTAGCTGCTGTATCTTAACATAACTCCATTAAAATTTATAACCACCCATTCAGATGTAAAAGGAAGAAAGCAAAATTACTTTGTCAGAGCTGTAAGCAGTGGTGAAATTGAGTTGATGCCATCTTACAAACACCATTTGGGAAGCAGTAATGACAACATAGCTTCACCAGTGGCCAGCTAATTCTTGAATTTGTTGTATAGGTTGATTTTTTCTTCTGGCCTGTTGTTGAGACATGTCACATTTTGGATNCAGACGATGGGTGAAGTCCAAAATAAGCCAAAAGAAGTACAGTATGTACCATCGTCAGAATCCTTTCAAGTCTATCTCAGTAAACTTCCTTCTTGGAGAAAGCGACAGAATTTTTCTTATGCTATGGTGCTTGCAAATTCTAGAGTCATACTCATTGGCAAGATTATAGTTGTTATACAGTTCTGATTCCAACAGATATTCTTGGAACTGGTCGTGGAAGTTCTAGAATAACAGGTGTTAATTTTATAGTGCCTTTGGCCTCTTACTGGCTCTGTCATGTCATTTAAGAATGCATGGTGTAAGGAAAGTATCTTCAACTTTACTCACTATCCTTTTCATATCCGAGTGGTGTTCAGAGTTAATTTCATAATTTATATGAAATCCATGTTAACTATTTTCAGTTTTAAGATGTGTGAAGCTCTCCTCCTCCAATGGCCATGCTGTGTACAAAGATAAAAGTTCAGCTGTTAATGTTATATAATCTAAAGTCATATGGCTGCAAGTAACGCATTGTATGCGTGACCCAAAGAATTGTTTCTCAGTGTTATGAATGGTAAACCAACATGTTTTATAAGGACTATATTTTGTGTAATTAGTTATATAAGGTTGTTCATGTTATTTGTAAAGAATTCACGTTCTCTGGTGTAAGGAAGTGTTACCAAATGTTTTCCAGCCGTAGGTCCCGTTTTGTAAACATGCCATTAAAAAGCCATTCATCAGAAGCAACAGTTGTTCCTGCTTTCAGATATACACATTGGTTCACATTCCAGTGTTCACCTTCCTTATTTCCCCTCGGTATGAATAGTTCCGTACTTCCGATCTGGTGGATTGACTAATGAAATTTAAAAAGTAGTAAATTATGAATTTGTTGAAAATTTAATGTGGAAGGTCATGATCCTGCTTATTTAAAGTAGGAAGTACACCAGAATTTTGTTTTGGCTATTGAAATGTTTGCACAGATTGGCATGTGTTGAGAAGAAATTTGTAGCAATGGCATTTTGGGTTTGAGGAACATTTGTTCTCCTGCCCGAGTGACATCTATGTAGGAAGTCTGGTGGAACTATTTCCATATATACTAGTCATTTTATTCGCTTTACCTTGATGCAGATATACCAGGTAGGTTATATTAGTGATTCCATATATTTGTATCTGTTTCTAAACGTGACTTTCACTGATGCAGCTTTTTTTATTGAAATGTAAATTTGTTTTTGCTTGATATTGGATTTACATGGCATACACATTAAGTAGTAAGTGAAAAGTGAATTTCTCTCTAGAATATGCTTCATTGCCAGTACAATTATTTTAACATCAGTTCTTCAGTTTGGCCTGAAATTGCACTCGAGAGTTTTTCATTTGAAATGTACTTCATTATGAATCCACCATAATTATTTTTGTAGCAATCGCATCATTGAAAACTTAGAGGAGCCCTATATTTTTTGATAGATACCTTGATAGGTGAGTTTCAAATAATATCATGTACTTTACTTGCAATGCAAGTTTAATTATTTAGAATTTATGCGTTTTTAGTACAGTTAAACTCTATAATATTTATAACATAGATCTTCATTCATATTAGGTGAAAGAGATGAATTTGGAATTTGTTTATTGCCAGACAGAATCTATACTTCCCCCCCTCCCCAATGTCGCTACAGCCCTCATATACTATAGTCCTCAATATGTAATTGTTTCCATACTAATAAAACATTTTTAATAGACACAACTGCAACAAGTTGAGTAGAAGGCTCATTATAAATAGCTGAACTTGTAATTAAACTGTTAATATGATTCTAGTTTAGGTATGTTTATTCTTTTCATCCTATTTTGAAAATTGCAGTAGATAATGGTCATATGCACAACAGTTACTGAACAATGTAGTAAAAGAGAGAGTGTCAGGATTGAGTTTTTGTGATTATACTGTACCACTTCATATTATGATCTTGGTAGATCATCAGGTGGATTAAAAATAAATAAATACAAGTCACTGAAGTGAGGCAAATCCTCACAGCCTTGCAACAAAGCAACCATTGCTTTGTTAACTCCTTAACCATGCCACAAAAACCAGCCTCCTACATTAACAGTAACAACTGAGAATTTTACACATCTGTCATTTCCATCCACAAATTACCTTTGATCTAACAGATACAACTCAATTCAGACATAGCCACATACAGAAACTTACAGAATGTCCAACGACAACTGCTTGCAGCAAGGCCTCATGTATATGCGCACCACATAAGATTCCTTCACCAAGCCGCTAGTGCAGCCAGATACATCTATCTGCACATTCGAAATAATACATGGAACATCACAGTAGGTAACTGAAGACAGTGAGCCATTCATGGCCCCCTGTTACCTGACTGCATTGATCCCACTGCTGAGTGAGAAATGCATGCAAACACTCATCCAACAAACCACACAGAGCCTCATCTTCAATTTAAAGGGTTTTAACTAGTTATACTAAATTATAGCACATTTCTTGATGTGAAAAATGGATCCATTTTGTAGAAATTCAACTTTACAATAACTTGACCTTCAACAACTATTTAATTATTTAAAATCCCCCCAGTGATGGTTTATCGAGATTAAAACATGTAATGGTATAGTATTTAAACCTGACACTATTTTTTGTTTTATTGTTAAGTAATTGTTATGTAGATTGTTACTATATATCGTGATTTTAATTTAAGTGCTGGAGTACATTACTAAGTGTGGCCTGTTGAAATCAGTCCATATGTACCCAACATTTCTAAAGGTGCTACCCAGTCACATTATATTTACAAGTGGGTGCAGATTTGCATATCATTGAATTACATTGTTTCTGCATTTCTGTTGGAAGTTTTGAGTTTGTATTGGGAGAATTGTGAAGTGTTGAGAACTGAATATAAATTTAGCACGAATGACTGTCATGCTTCCATATGTTTTAAGAAACATTCTAATGGTTATTGTGAAGGTAGCTGTAGATTTGGTCCAGTAACATTCAGGAGAGAAAAGATTATGTGAAATACAGTACTGAGAAAATTGTAAAATTGCAATAAGGTGTTACTTTATTGTAATGAATTGTTTTGTAGAATCTGTGAATATCACACACTGGTGACATTAGAGGCACAACCAAAGAGTTGTTATTATCAAGTTCATATTAGTGAGGTGTTTTTTTTATAAGGGCCACTTTCATCTTGTAATAGTGACATACCTGTAGTTCTGCTGGATGGCACAAGTGTTATGCTAACGATGAATGTTGTGCCTACACAACTACAGTATGCAGTGGTTTGTTATAAACCTAATTACTTAGTAAGGGCTACATGTTTTGACTATGGAGGCCAACGTTAATCTGTCACTGTGCTGTCCATACAAGTACAAGATACATGAAGGTATCAACAAAATGTGACAACTGACAACTCCAAAAGGGAATACTAAGAACCTCTGCTCTGCACAAGGGTACATAACTATGAATCTCACGCAAACACAGTAAATGCATAATTATACACGAAATATGGGGTTTTGTTACCCGTAGCCATCCAAAACACTTCAAAGCGTACAGATTCACAGAGCAATAATGAATGTACCAGTTGCCTGAATGTGGCCTCTATGGCTGAAACATATAGTTATTAATAAATAAATATATAATAAGCCATTTGTTGTAGGTGTATAGACAGAACATTCATTGTTACATATTTGCAAATGTTTCTGAATTGTACCAGTACTGTCACGGGCATGAAATGTGTAAGCGATGCTTAATGTAATTTTGTTGCTGTTGAGTCTCTTGTGTTTGGTTTGATCCACTGCTGCATGTCTGACCCTAGTGCTCTCTTCATTTGCTGTATTTCCCTTGTATAAGATGCATCATCATCTAGGAAGAAGAAATTCTGAACTTTTTGTGAACCTCGTCAGTGTATGAGACACTGCAGTATTTGGGACCATATAAAAGAAACTTCATCTTGTATGCTGGGAAATATGGTATATTTAAAAGTTTTTGTAAAATATAACACAGTTAGAAGTGTATTACATTTGTGTACAATCAGGTCCCCATAATTGTGTTAATTACTGTTGATTTGTAGTCAGAGCATTTATCCAAGGTTCTGTAGCATAGCTACAAACAGAAACTTGGAATCAAAATGAACTTATGGCCTACTGATTAACAACATAAGTCATGGCCTTGGAAAATGATTGTGGTTCTTTTTATATGACATACATATAATTTTCATTTGCATACCCAGCAAATGTGTAATATTTGCTGTGGATATGCATGTACCATGTGAGAAGTATTGTATACTGAATGGTTGAGAATGTTTAAGGATATGGCACTCATTTGTACCATACCTTTCAAGTTCCCTGTTCAGCAAATAGTTATTATTGTAATAAATCGTTTTGAACTGTGGATTCCTTTGAATGAATGAATGAATGTATAAGGGGTGGGCCTTCTCGGCCCTTGCACCGCAACCTACAGTGATCTGTTGTGCTTCCCCTTTTGATTATCCTCTCAGCAATCCTGCGCTCAATTGAAGCACAGGATTTTGTATGTGGGGACGTCAAAATAGTCACTTGGTTCCATAAAGTATTGACCCAAGTGACGTAATCTTATATAAGCTAAGGCCTCGCATTCACACAGGATATGTGTGGCTGTTTCATTTTCTTCTTTACACCTCTCACAAGTGGGACTGTTACTTAGTCCCAGTTTGAAGAGGTGTCCTTTAAGGTGACAGTGTCCTGTAAGTAGTCCCACCACCCATCATAACTGGTTCCTGTTTAACTTAAACAGTTCCTTCGCTCTTTTAGCAGATGGTCCTCATATGAGTCCCCTTGCTTGCCTGAGTTCAATCAAGGATCCCCAGTATTTCTTGTGCTTCATATGTGTCCAGTCCCTGATTGCCTTTCTGGCAACTCATATAGATGCCCCAGGCTGGTTCAGGTCCTATGAACGGATGTTCAGCTCCACTCTTGGCCAATTGATCTGCTGTTTCATTTCCAGCAATGGCACCCATATCAGTTGTACCCT